AGCTTTAGCTTTTTAGTTTAGTTATTTTTGCAAACATCGCACTTGGATACCCTACGGTAATCGTGGGGCAGGTATTTTGGAGCCAGGCATGAATGGTCATCTCCTCGTAGACCGGAATCATAACGAACGCTACAAGCTGTTTTAGAATATTGATGGTAAGCGGTCTTTCTATACAAGATATCGGATAGCAGAGCCGGTGGTTAGCAGCGACATTCGCTTAGAAATCTGCATTTCGATGACGAAGAGACATCAAAGAGTAACGTGTTGAAGGTCTCTTGACTCCGCTACTCCTTCCCTGACTCTACTCATCCCCCAGTCGCACTCCTGACACAGGCGTTCGCCGCCCCGGGCCGACTGTCAGTCTGCAGTGACGTCATAGGAAGAGACGTGACGCCCCGCCTCACCTGGTCCCTCAGCTGACCCAGACTTTGCCCTCCCTGACGAATGATCCACAGTTGCCCCTGTCACACTACCAAGACGCCAACCGGCCTCGAAAATGAGAATCGAGGAGCACGGATTCGCAGAACGGGTGCCCATTTGCTTCGTGCAATGTGTGTGTGTGTGTGTGTTGTGTATGTGTGTGTGTGTGTGTGTGTGGGTGTGTGTATGTGTGGTGTGTGTGTATGTGTGTGTGGTGTGTGTGTGTGTGGTGTGGTGTGTGTGTGTGTGTGTGTGTGTGGTGTGTGTGTGTGTGTGTGTGCTGTGTGTGTGTGTGTGTGTGTGTGTGTGTGTGTGTGTGTGTGTGTGTGTGTGTGTGTGTGTGTGTGTGTGTGTGTGTGTGTGTGTATGTGTGTGGTGTGTGTGTGTGTGTGTGTGTGTGTGTGTGTGTGTGTGTGTGTGTGTGCTGTGGTGTGTGTGTGTGTGTGTGTGTGTGTGTGTGGTGTGTGTGTGTGTGTGTGTGTGTGTGTGTGTGTGTGTGTGTGTGTGTGGGTGTGTGTGGTGTGTGTACCCTTTGCGGGGGGGGTGTGCGATGCTGTCTATCTTTGTGACCTTCTAACGATAAACAGGTCATTGGCCTAATATAAAAAGACAGAGGAGACTTGAAATTAGCTCGTTGCAGTTGGGGGCTTGTTTGTTGGACCGTGACTAGAAGCGAGCACTGGTGGCCACGGAAGGATCCGGTGCAGGTGAGAGAACTGCTTCCAACACAAGTGTTTTGAATGTTCAGCCATGAAATAGTGATATGGAATAGCAGTGTAAGCAGCCGGTTTGCACTGCCGTCTGTCAGCGACTCGCGGTCTCTCTTCATTTATTATGTTACCTTGAAAAAGCCGTGCCCATTCTCACATAGACTACAGTGCCAGCCATTGGTGTTGCGACGTTTTGGGTATTCTGGTTGGTAGGATGCGACTTGAAGTTACTACGTCGCCCGTACCAGGTATTTGAATGGCTTAAAATTAAGGAAAAAATCCCTTTCCGCGATGGAACGGGTGAGGGAGGGAGAGGCGACCCACTTTCAACAAGACATGGGCACGTTTCCCCGGTTGGAACAGTGACGGTCAGATTCCTAATACCGAATAATGGGCTCTTCCTCCAGAGCAGACTTTTCTATTTCCAATCTATCCCGGTCGGAACTGTCCGACCTTCGTGGTGGGCGCTAGCGAATTTCGCGTCAGGCTCCTCGAGCTAATCGAAACTGAGCTACGAACGAAGCTGGTAAATCCTCCCAAATTATGTCAGTGAAACTTACCGTAAACTCCATGACTACCTCCTGTGCTCTAGTGTTATCGGATAATGTGCTGTGCACGTGACTTTTGCGCAGTCAGCTTTGATTGAGGTAGAATGTGACGCTATAATATAGTTGCACATAGAAATGGTGAATTCATGATGATGAACTGATCGCACACAGAATTGATGTTATGTCTCAATCAGCACCAAACTAGTGCTGAACGGCATCGGCGCATCCGAACAGAGAGAAAATAAGCGCAATGCGTGTGTGATCACTCAAGAACTGTTCAAGAAATGCAGCTGAAAGAACTTTAATATGATCGTGTTGTTAGGTCGACGGTTTGCTTGCTGTTGTATTCTTGATTCATGTTTAGGTACGCTTAATTACTTACTTCTTATTTACTTCACCGAGTAAAAGATAAAGTAGCAGTAAATACCCTCTCTAATAAATAAAGTACCTATAAGCGTTAAAAACGCGACACATGGCGAAATGCATACTTCAAAACTCACATGTGTGCCGGTTATAACTTCTACCACAAAAGATCCTGGAGTACCGTTTCCAAGATGGGACAAGATAGAGCAGCGATGCGCCGCCCTATCTTACTACTCTATACTCTCTCCGGTATTGTGGTACCGAGGGAGATGTCAGCAGAGAAGAATGGACCCGCGCGGGACAGAGGACAGGCTCGAAGACATCACGGAAGGATAGCTGAGGATAGTATCAGGGACAGACCAAGTCGTAATCACAGATGGCTGGACAGAAGATGGAATCTAGGCCACACTGGGGCGTAATATAACCTCGGCGGTCGGTGCCTCCCAACAAACAATTAACAAGAAAGGGGTCAGACTACAGGATTGCACAGGGGACAGCGCTGAGTTTGGGCACAGAACAGAAAAGAGGATTGCGGAAAAAATGAAGACAAAGACCACGATAGCAATGTCAGGAAGCAGCTCGGAGGATAGCGCAGAGTCTCTACCCTCTGGCATACATTATGGCGTGGCGCGAGGCAGGCACGCGCAGCACACCAAAGCGCACACTCGTCCACAGGGCGGTAGTGAATATCCTCAATGCGTCACTGTTTGGCTACGTCATCGTATCTTCCACAACGTTGAGAGAGTCAATTGATGGCCGTTATGTCTTGGGGAACGCCAAATATGAGCTATTCGACCAACATATTTTTCTCGGCCTTGATCGCTGTATGGCTTTACGCCATGAATGCCAAGGTGAGGTTGAAATACCCTCCCCGAAACACTCTCCCCATTTTTGCGGGCCTGTGCCCAGAAACTAGAAGAGCTTAGATTTTAAGAGGGATGGGCTGTGAACTACACAGAAAGGTTTTCACGATGGCTATTTCAATTCAAAATCCCATACTAAGGTCGAACAATGTCTTTAAGTAAAGGTAGCAATTGTATGACATGTTACAATATATGTAATTACGGGTATTAATTTTTAAGGCTTGACTTTTGCGGAGTAGTATTAACGTCGCGTATACGTACTGGCAGTATCCGTTATATAGAAGCACTCCTGCCGGTAGGAATTTTTCCCGTGTCATAAATGTCATGGAACCTTTTTTCGTATCTCGAGGGTGACTGTCGCTTGGTGCAGTAAAGAAACGTAACGTGACTGATATGTTTGCATTGCCAATATATTTGGTGATTCACAACATTGAACAATGGACGGACTGTTGAAACGAGTCACGCAATAAATGCAGTCCAAAACAAGCAGAGTAATATCCAAAGCTCAGATCTTAGTTGTTGTACTTCCAGACAGCCGTACAGCCGCGAGGGCCTCTGCGGTGGACCAGGATGACCCTCGCCAACCGCCGGCAGACGGGTGGGGCGGCCCCCGGGCTGCTCTAACTTCGCAGCACCTGCAGGCATTAAGTCAGCCAGTGTCGGATCAGGCAACCCGACACACATCCACGGCTTCTACAGGCCCTGTCTAACGTGGCAGAATCATTTCAGTACTCTGGCTTCGCACCCGCTCGGGGTGAATGACACGAAACGTAACACACACGTGATCATCAGTGTCTGGATCTTAGTGTCTTCGTCAGCATACATGGGAGCGGAATAGTCGATCACCAACATCCAGAAGGGCCGGCATGGCTCTGACCTGTAATGGTGGCAGAAGGCTCTGCACCTACCGATGGGGGAGTCCGTTGTGGCACCGACACCTACCGCATGTGCCGACGACCCTGTGCATGGTCCTCCTTTGAATAAAATACTCTGCAGAAAAAGGAGCAAGGGTGACACGGACGCCCTGCTGGAAACATCGACGATGCCCGTCGTCCACCATCAGCGCAGTGATATGACTCCACTCGGGCACAACCACTACACTCGGCCCGTCGGTCCTCGTTGTGGCCAACAGCGGTCAGTCCCCAACCACATGGGGTCTCACCTTCACTAGCGGTGAACCCACTGGCAGAAGGGAGCCATCTCTCAGCGACCGCAGCTCCCGCGGGACGCCCGACGCAGTGGTAAGTAACAGTGGGTGCAGGTCCGAAGTAATGATCGGCAGGTTCCGATCCCGCCCGGAGGACTACGCATTGCAACGGTATTACAACTTTAACTTAACGTTTCCGGACCGGTGCGACATATAACTCCACGTGGTGGCAGTTCAAAGATCACTCTGGAGAAGTGGCGCACGTGTCCCGTCGTCGGGTTATCTGGAGGCTTTTAGGTGGGAGATTTCACGCTTAGACAAACATAGAGTGTGAGCACGAAGCAATGACGATTTATTTAAGTGGGGTCATTGCCTTCTCCGAAACGCGCGCCTCGTCTCGGCTGGGTTCCGTGGAGTGCCGCACTTCCGCCCTGGGACACGGGCGTACACCAGTTCGAAGGTCTGACTGTGGTGGCAGTGTTGGCGTGGCTCCGTTGCCGGCGGCTGCTGCTGCGCCTCCGGTGTCGGCTGTGCAGGCGTCGGCTGTGCACCAGGCGCCGCCCTCGCCCGATCCACCCCTGCTACGCTGGACACGCTCATGCCGGTCCCGGTGCCGGCCGGGCCCACGACCCAGCTGCAGCAGCTGGGGCTGGCCGAGATGCCGCAGCACCTGACTACCGGCAGCGAACACCAGCCAATGCCAACGACATGAGATTCGCAGTCTGCTCATTATCGAGGAGAAGCCACTTCCCTCCCCCTCCCCCGAAGAGCACGTCTGGTTCTTGGGCACGTCCTGCTCTTCCTCATCGTGGTCCGTCACGCCGAGCGGTGCGCGCCTCTCGGCTGTGGCTGCCGTCCAATGGACGAACTGTGTCCTGCGGATGACGGCGGCATCGCGCCCTCTGCCGGCTCTCGTCTGCACTGTTTCGGCCGTCTCGGCGTGGAGCCGGCGACTGTGCCACCCGGGCCCGTCAGATACTGGCGCAGCTCGTCCAGGTCATCCCGCACCCGCACCACGTCTACCAACCGGCTACTGCACACCCGACACGGCTGTAGCCTGGCCGACCTCACTGTTGGCGCCGTGCCGTGTCACGACGTCGCCGTCCTTCAGCCGCACGAAGTCGTTCAGCATACGGCACGAGGTGTACGGCTTGGCCGAGAGCGAGGCCGCCTCCACCAGCGACACCGCGCTCCGAATCAGCCCGTCATGGCCCGACCGGCATCAGTGGCTCTTGATGCACGGGAGTTCTCGCCAGACCCGACTGCTTCAATGCTGACAGCCGAATCAGGCCGGCGGCCGGCAGGCGACAGCGGCGGGCAGCCGGGCCGCCGTCACGGCTTGGTCGGCTGCTCGCCGCACTCGATGCCGCTTGCTGCCCCACTGCAGCGGCCCGGCAGTAATACTTCAGCATGCACCACTGTATTCGCCGCCGCCGCTAATCTCTTTCGTTGTTCATTCAAGCCTCTCTGGAACAAGAGCAGAGCAAAGCTCCATAAAGCGGGGAAGCCCGGTGCCAGCGGCGAAAGAAGGCACACAAACCGTTCGCCGATGCACAGGAAAGCGCAAAAGATTACTTTAGGAATGTTTTTGTCAATGACCAACGCCACAACAGCTGCCGCACTCAGGCAGCGCCAACTAATGACGGCACTAGCGGGAAACCAGACCGCAACAATACAATGACGTCACGCAACATACAGCAACCCAACCTTTCAATTCAAACTCCATTCGCTTGGTGGCAGCAAGCGCCACCCATACCAATGAGTTACACCTTCCGCCGCTGGTGGCAGGAGCATCGGCGGGTTGTGTATACTGAATTGGCATGGATGTCTGAATGCGTTCAGTTGGTTAATTAACTGACATACTCCATGGCAGCTCTCATTATTGCCTTATCATTTTTCGCGCCAACTTTGCCACAAGTAACAGCCATGACTGATTAATCGTCCTGACAACGCCGGTGTTTCATTCTTCCTGTTGGGTACCGCTGTAAGCTGGGTCTGCCCCGTGGTGCTCGGGTGGTTATCGTACGTTTGACTATTCAAATCCTGTTCGGTCTTTTTTCATCTACTCGGCATTAACACATGCGTATCATGAATGTGTCGTAACTATTCCGGAGATGGATTAATTTCGTGAACAGTTGAACTGCAGACGAACGTGACGTCACGACGTCGACGCAAAATCAAGGTGCGGGAACGCTCGAGATGCACTTATGTGCATCTCGATGTGCTAAATGCAGGTTTTTATGGGGAACGTCAAATCTGCTTGCTTTAATTTGCGTCTACATGTCTTCGTCCACCTGCCTTTAAGCCTGCGGAAAAATTTGGTCGCAAAAAAAGATCTCCAGCCACCTGGGCTGCTCTTTTTAAAATGAGACTGACTCTTTGCGTGTTTGTTGTTATAATTCATCGCACAAAAGGACCCAGTGAGAGCCAGCACTGCCTAGCTCAGTACACCATCGATTCGGTGCTATTCAGTGTAATTCACGTTGTATTAAATAGAAGAGCAGTTACTGTGTTCTTCAGGAGGTGCCTACGCAAGTCAGGGCCATCCGATCCCGTGGTGATGTAAATATGTGCCTGATGATGGTGTCCCTTCTCAGATGGGACACTTTGTCGACATTCTGGCACGTCTGCTGACTGAAACGAGCGGCTGGTCGCTGGTCGTACAATTTACATACTTATTTGTGTAACATATTACCGAGATAAAATGGCAAGTGACTGCTATTGTTACTTTGCCCGTACACATTCCGTGCGCAGGCGCTGGGAGGCGTTGTTGGTTCTCACGGAATAGGACGCACTATGCGTTGGCCGCCATGATCAGCCAGGGAACCCATTGCCGCGGTCACAGACCGACACTGCAGACGTACGGCGGCTCCGCCCAAATGTATAGGGCTAGCTAATAAAAGACCGGCTATTAACCGCTAACTAATGAGATCAAGCTTGACGGCCGGCGTCGTTGGCAGTTTAGCCAATGACAAGACAGCATGGCGTCAGCGATCCGCAGCACGGCGGCCATTGGTCAACAGCCTCGGGGAGGCCAGTTAACGCGCTGCGGGTCTCGGGTTCGTCTCGCCGCTGCTGCAGCATTGCCGTGTGTTCACTATCGCCGTGTAGTCGTGACTGCAGCATTGTCAGATGTGTGCGACGGCTGCACCAGTGGCGTCGGGCCGCCAGCGGTCGGACGGGACGTAGGTGTGCGGTGTTCGGTGATGTGCGGCCAAGGGACGTTACACTTTCCGTGCGCGTGCGACTAACGGGCGGCCCGCAGACCAGCACAGGCGACAGCAGACCACTGTCTGCGGACGGGTCGGTGACACGAGCGTCCGGACCAAGCACCGGCCGGCCACAGGCTCGCCCGCCAACCGGGGGCGGCCCAGTGCAGACGCTCCACCGGCGGCCAGCTGGGACGCAGTCAGGCCTCGCCAACGAGCCGCCTGTCAGCAACTGACTGCCGCACAGCTCCGGCTGCTCAACACGCTGCTCAACATGCCTCTCCCCAGCCAGCTGCCACTCGCAGCACACGGCTGCCGCACGCGCCGACACAGCACGGCCGTCTCTCTCGGCACTGCGGCAGGCACGTACAGGCACGTGGCGACACGCGGCGTCGCCAGTGGGGTGCGTACGTCGGTGGGTCGGTGACACGTGGCTGTGGCGTGCGGGACGGTGGCGGCGCACCTGACTGGGCAGGGCCGCAGCACTGTGGCCTGTGTGATGCTCACTGTGGCAGGCTCACCTCATATTCCCTTTTCCCATTCCCTCAGACGGAGCGGGCCGGGCGGCAGCGGCAGCAGGTCCTGCAGATACCGACCTGCCGGCAGAGCGTGGGTCGACATCAGCCACCGAACGCTCACGGCGGCTGGCTCACACAAACACCGGTCACCGCAGCACTGGGTCGTGCGCTCCGTCTTCTTACCGCGGCAACCCAGGCGCCACGTGAACAAGCGACCGCCGGGGGTGCAGTGCAGCAATGGAAGGTAACACGGTCATCCAGACGGTGCAACGTTATATGACGTCACCAACAGCGGTCCAACATCGCCGAGGGTAACAGAGGGCGGTGGGTCAAAATAGCGGGGTTAAGAATAGCCGCCTTTGGAGGCACGTCTAACGCAAGCGGTGCCGGCTCAAATGTCCCCGGCGAGGATACGGTGCGATGCACTTTCAACGTGCAGTCACTGCTTAGTTAGCTGACTCCGAGCTCAGCCGTCGGACCAGACTTGGTGCGACAATTCCAGCCTCCGATAAATAGCCTGGGGCGCATAATCAACGATCCCACTGACGGAGCGACGGACGCTCAGTTCGCTCCATCCGTCGACACAGAGGGGAGCGGGTACGACATCCACCTACCGTCGACCTCGAGTGTGACGTCACGATCCGGGGACAGCTGACGCAACAGGCTGTATACCAGGGACCTGGTCCGGCGTAGGTCAGACAACCACCACAGTACCGTCAGCGACGGACAGCCGAGCACCAGCCTGCAACAGAGCACAGCACAGGTCACGCCCAGAACACCGGCACACGGCGGAACAAAGGGCACGCCACCTACGTGCTCCGTGGCGCGTCACGCGCCCCATCAACTGTTCGCCAGCGTCAGCAGACGTTAGCCTGCGAGGCTTCCGCCGCCGTAACAGCGGATGCCGCCCCCTGCAGGCGGCTCTGACTGGACGGATGACGCGGTGGGGAGCCCGGTGTGACGTCAGACCCCGTCCCGGCCGTAACGCCCCGGGCACATGGGGCTTGCACCACGTGACGGCCCTAAGAGCCGGACGTACAGTGCTGTCTCGTGGTGAGCTCAGCTGCAGAGGAGCGGACTCTACGGCCACCGGTATGGGCCGGCACAGGGTCACACCTACGAGGGGATGGCGACGAGGAGGGGACAGGACGAGCACACCGCAGGGAAGGGCACAGCCTGGTTCATTAAGGCTGCAGTTCACTGGCCGTTCAGCACTGGCCCGTCTTTGGCCAGGCTTAAACTACTGATCGAGGTCACATATCAGCTGCCTCGGCTGGGCTCGGGTGGGCAGGAAACACGCCGAGAGCTAAACAGCAACAAGGAGACTCCCAGGGTGTCCAGGCCAAGTGAATCGCCGCCAGTTTGCAATGCTCCTCATCTAACTGCCTTCGCCACGTCCTCCACAGGTGAGCTCACTGTGTGACACCATCTGTTGAACAAGACCGGCATCCGGACAGGTTCAGCATCCTTAAGCGGGGCCCGTGTAGCCGGTCCAGTGTGGCGTCCGCCACAGTGTCCAGCCAGGACAGGTCCAGCGCACGCAGCTGCCTGAGCCGCGGCAGGCAGTCCAGGCCAACAGCCGTCACCCCGTCACACACTGAAACACACAAGAAGCCGGACCGATTCCAATGTATCAGCACTGTCACGTGATCACCAGATGACGTCAGAACATTAACAGCGGCTGAACCGCTGGTGCTGAAAACAACACCGCCTGTCGCAACCCCATGGCAGAGCCACGGTGTGTGGGGTCGGGAGCGTGTCCTATTGATATGGAACAGCTGGTTTTAATGCGTCACTTCAGCTGCACCATCACCGCGTTGCCACTACGGCATATACGGAAACTGCGCGATGTGGAATATGCTCACCGCGTATCTCGAGTGTGTGCAAGCCTGGCAGCAGGTCGGGCAGCCGCTGCAACGTGGCATCGGTGACTCCACGGGAGTACGCCACGTCCAGTGGTCGGAGGGAGGGGAGGCCGGCCGGCGGCAGGCAGAGCTCCAACGACCGGCTCCAGCAACCACGGCCGTCAGCCGCTCCAGCTGTGGACAGCCGGCCAGCCCCGCTGCCAGGTCTGCCGCCTGCAGCCCCTTCACATATGACACGTTCAGCTGCCGCAGCCGAGGACAGCGGGTCAGCTGACGCAGGCAGGCCGACTGTAGATGTTGACACCAGGCCATCGAGAGGGCCTCCAATGACTCGGGGAGCAGCGACAAGCACTCTCCCCGCACGGTACTCCGCGCCACGTCAAGCCGCCGCAGGGACGGCAGGCGGCGAAGCAGCACCTGCACGCACCGCTCGGCGGACCCGCGAGGCAGCGTGACGGCCTCTAGCTGGGGACACCTGGTCCACAGCTCCTCCAGGGACTGTGGGTCCGCGCCGAAGTGAAGCAAGTTCACTTCTACCAGGTGTCTTAAGAGCCGGGCTGGAACGACACACGGGTTTCAGTTTCAGACAGCGCTGCGTCCTGCAGCCTTTGCCCTCGCTCCCATACTCCTTCCAATAACACCACGACTGAGACATGCGCCATTAAATGATAACGCTTTAGAGGCGTCTGTCGCACTCACACTGACACAACGCACCAAACACTTACAGACGACGTCAACGGATAACGGAGGCCGCGGCGACTCGGTGCCATATTGGGTTGTGAGCCGCCGCAGGGACGGCATGCGGCGTAACAGCCGCCACAGGCGCTCATTGTTGGCGTGCCGCATGTCGCCCTTGGTAAGGTGTAGGTGGTGGCGGCGCCCCAGGCTGTCGTCCACTGCCTGGCGCCAGCGACGCGACACTGCCGGTACCGACAGAACACACCGTACAGCGGACCGCAGCGGCGCAGACGACGTTCATGTGCGACAAAAACATTTCCGCCGGTCAGCACACCAAACCAGTGACAACGTTTGTCGCGCAAGCGTGACAGTGAGTTGAAAACACACGTCACTGCCATTTCGCTGCGAGAGTAGGAGATCTTACGCTGGCGGCGGCTGGCGGCCAGGTCGCTGGCAGTTGGTGATGGCATTCCTGCTCGGAAGACCGGCGCAAGCAATCCGCATCAAGCAGCCCCGTAGACAAATAACATAACAATTCGAGCACTGGAGAGCTTTAAGTCTGGACCCTTGCGACGACAAAGCAGTACGTAATACAAATGGGGCCCGAGAAAATAGTACAACAAATTATCTCAAACTGAAGCTGACACCAGTCAACCATGCCACCATTCAGCGTGATCATTACCTTGACGTTGCACGACCTGGAGGGTAAGAGGGTTATCTTCGGCATATCTTTTTTCGACTTCTTTAGAAATTATACGTTGGACTTAATTTTTACACACTTGAACAACGTGAAAAACTTACGTCTGCATTCTAAGCAGCACTTTTACACTATTCATCACGACTTGCACAAAATGCATTCACGTTTAAAGATGACATTTACAACATATTTCGAGTACAAGCTGAACGCTCTGCCTCTCCTTCCCCACCGCCTTTCTCAAACTGCCTCCTATTTCTCTGACATTTGCCAGCACAATTTTTAACAACACGCCACGCGCTTTAGTGTCGCGCTTGCTGTAGGCTTGGTCTTCTTCAAGGACGGGGCGTGTGATGGCAAAATATCAAACACGGCCCACACTAACATTACTTTGGGTGGTCTCGAGGGCTTGGTCTTGAAGACTTGAGGAGGGGGGGGAGGGGGAGAAGGGAATGTGCGGGAGGGTGAGGGGCAATTGTCTGGCAGCATTGAACAGTCGGTTCCGTGTTGATCGGGACGTGCGGGCCCATTTCCTTTGCAGGAAGAAGTCCGCGGCCCGCGATTTACATGGGTCGGGGCCCCTGAGCCAATGAAGGCCTTCCAGTGTCGGCTCGGGGCCTACAGAACCTAAAAGTGCGTCTTTTGTCGGGCAAAGGCCACTATACGGCCACGGCCAGTGTTCAAGGAGCCCACACGGCTCATAGGGTGTAAGGGCGCGAATGGAGGGCCCGGAGGGCACAAGTGCTTGTTGCAGGTCACATTAAGGACCCCGGCTCCAAGAACAAGGTCCTCAAATGTCAGTCAGTGGGCCTATTGCACCGACTGTAGACCCCTTGCGACAATGCGGTCGTCTGTTTTATCCAGACCACCAACGCAGAACGGTTGGATGCGTGTCAGTCTGGGCCCGAGGGACATATTTTTCAAGCAAGCAAGAGGCCCGGGCCCGAGATTGGCGCTGGTAGGAGCCGCTGAAATAATAGGGGATCCCGTGTCGGTCAGGGGCCCACAGTGTCTTCGGTGCTGACAAAGGGCCTTGAGTCAGACAGGGGAACGTTTACTGAACTTGGACAGGGACGGGACCTCGAATGTCACAGGGCCTATTGCGTTGACACTCTCGGACCAACGTGACCTTCCGTCTGGACGTTGTCCGTCGCCTGGCATTTGTCACGGGGTAAACGCAGTGAGGCCTAAGGAGACTGGAACGCCGGGCGTCCGGGTGTTTCACATGCGAGCGCGCATATTCAAAAATATGGTACATCACGCAGGACTACTCGGTTCTCAATGACTGTTGAACAACAGCAGAGCATGCCAATGGAAACTTTCGACCTCGTTGTGATCTACAATCTCCGTTCACGGGCCCTCCATATCTCTGTAGAATCCAGAAAAAAAAACACCGACAAGGGACCTGGGCGTTAGGCACCTCCCGCTGCTCTTAGTTCAGAAAGAGTCCACTGAACCATTGCAACATGAATAGCGTCCGTGGCTTATTCCATTTAGTCATTAAATCCTGTTTTTCAGTTTATTCACTTCAAAACGCAACGAGAAGAACATCTTGCGGTGGCTTACCTATGTGTTTTTTTTTTACATATGGGTGAAGGCAAAAATCAGTTATGCTTTTTAGGGGGATGACATTTTATAACCAGGGACCTTATGTCGACCCTGCACTATTTCCCCTTACGAAGATTCCGGCTGCACCCCTAGTCGCCGTGACAGCCACGACTGTCGTGTGCTCATGACTAGACGAGAAAGTCCGGTGGTCGGATCTACCGTCCATGTGCTTTGAGATAAACAACACTGGCAGTGGTGGTCACCTTGGATATGAAGGGAGAGGTTGGAGAGGTTGTGGCCGGTGGGGTGGGATTGGGTACTAGTGACGTACAGTCCTGTTCCCCGCCTCTCATGAAGCGCCCGCTCAGGACTCTTGAATTACCAAGGTAAGCTTCTTGGGACTCGATACTGCCATCTGCGGATGCTAATTATTCTTACAAATTCATGTTGCATAATGTTTCAGGAAAGTGCCAGCACACGACTACAGAAAAGAGAATCAATATCACATCCATGGCACTACATGAAGTCATGTGTCTTACAGTTGACGAAGTAGTCGATAGCCGGCTAACCAGTCTACAAACTGCCATGACCGATAACATAGGCAGACATCGTACGTAAAGAAGAGCCAGGAGGATCTACAATGCCAGCTCCAGCCGAACCATAGTTTCTCACGCAACGCTGGTCGTCGCCGCTAAAGAGAAACGCTTCCAATCTGCCCCCCTGATCTTTCGAAGAGGTAGCGCAGGCTCACCGCGAACCTCACAAGGCTCATCACAGTAATCGTAATCCATAAGGCTTGTGGCCAACGTTCTGCCAGCTCTTGGTAGAGGGTCGATTTCATGGAAGTGACATGTGACTGGACAGGCACGACAGCTTAAAATGCCTTGCAGTTTTCATCATAATGGCCCGGGATGTCCCTATTCTCTTTGTTTTGTAGGAGTATGC